TGCACATTCAGAAGCCTTTTACTGTTGCCAGATTTTGCTGTATGGTGACCCACAGCTTAAGAAGACTAATTTGTGACTAATGAAGTCACAAATCTGAATTGTGTGGCGGTTGTACGACAAAAGGGGAAACAGAGGCACACACGAGGGCTTCAGTCTAGGATTTTCATGAGCATGCCTTTTCTCCCCAGCTAGGTTGTAAGCCTCTAGAGGGTAGAAACGATTGCCTACCGAGGATCTCAGATTTAGAGCCAGAAACGGGCCTCAGAGGCCGTCTGGTTTGACTCTCTCATTCTACAGCGAGGAAACTGAGGCTTAGAAAGATGAAGGGACTTGTCCCAGGAAGAAAAGAGCAGAGCTGGGATTTGAACTCGGGTCTTCTAATTCCATGTGGCCTCTGGGTGGCGCAGTACGTAGAACACCAAGTCTGCAATCAGGAAAACTCTTCTTCCTTAGTTCCAATCCAGCCCGAGACACTTCCTAGCTGTGTGTGACCCCAGGCAAGTCACTTCACCCTGTTTGCCTCAGTTTCCTCATCTGTAAAATGAACTGGATAAGGAAATGGCAAACCATTCCAGTATCTTTGCCATCCCAAAAGGGTCATGGAGAGTTGGACACAACTGAAAAACAAAATCAACAATCTCTAATTCCAAGTTGTTTGTTTCTACTGCCCCATACTGCCTCCCACTTTGTATTCCTAGCACAGTGCCCTCCAAAGAACAGACACTCAGTAAATGTTTTTGTTGGTAAAAATGATGAAGAGTTTTAAACCCAAATGATCAAGTTTTCAGAGATGCATTATATCTTTATCCTTGCCATCATTCCTCCAGAACAGCTCCATTATCTTAACACTTTATCATACAAAGCAAAGAATTCTATTTTACAATGCAAAAAAAAAGATTTACTCCATTAACAAAATTATAGTTACCATTCCCTGTATCTACTAAACAGAGATTTACCTTGAAACAGTTTTCTTTTCTTTTTTTAATCTATCTTAAACCATTTTCAGGCACATATTGGTAAGCAAGATTTGACATGATAAATGAAAGATGTCATTTCTCAGTTGGGAGTAGCTTCACAAAAACTGAATGAAGCAAGTGATGATACAGTAGTAATAGGAGGAACATGGCCCTTCATATCAACGGATCTGTTGTAGAATAGAAAATCATCAGTGCTAACTAAAATGCCTTCCTTTGCCACCATCATTCAAGTAGCTCCCGCCATTTGGGGTAGTAATATTTTCTGGTTGGAAGAAAGGAGGCCTCCCCCCAATCCTATATATAAATATATAGATATATATAAATTATATATATCTATATATTATATATATATTATATATATTATATATATATATACATATATCTCTAGGGTCTCTCCCACCCAAAGTCATCCATCATGCTGGCCTTGAAAGGTCCTCCCCAGGATATTCCAAGCCTCCTCACCCTTGACACCCAAGCATGAAATACTGTTCCTGCCAAACCAATCTATCACCCCAGTTTAACCGGTTTACTCATTATTCACCAGAAAGACTTTTACCTCTCTTGGTGTCTTTGGCTCTGCCTTTTTCCCCATGCAAATGTTATACCTCCTTCCCTAACCCCTTACCTCCACATACCTTTTTTTTTTTTCCTTCATACCGATATTCTATCTATCTTTACAGGTGTAGCCTAAGTGATCTCCTCCCAGGCTAGGTGTAATTGCTATACTATTTAACTAGATTCTAACAATGTTAAGCAGTATGTGACTTTTTTTTTTAATCCCAGGGACTGCATCTTATTTTTCTCTGCCTACTTTAGGGCATCAATAGTTACTAAATGAATAAATCTCCTCATTCATTGGCATTGAGGACAGGACAATCCTCATTGTTTATAGAAGCTCCCAGCACAGGGCCTGCCTTGCACACAGTAGGCTTTCAACAAACATCTGATGATTGATGAGTGAGCAGAGGAGCAAGAGGGAGAAGAGAATCAATCTACAAATCAACAATTTATTAAGTGACTACTGTCTTCTTCCTTATTCTAAGTCCAGCATTTTATGCACTGGTGGGTTAATGCGGAATGAAACAGAGAGAGAGAGAGACATTACTCCTCAGCCATCTTCATGTCAACCATTTTGCTGCTTGGATTGGAGACCATACCCAGGAACGCTTAACTCTTTCAGCTCCTGACCTCCCACCCTGGAGCCCCTGTAGTCCTGATTGCCAAATGCTTACTGTGGGCCACTCTTTCAATCCAGCCCAAGCTAAACTTCGCTTTACTCCCTGGCCATCCACTCACCAACCACCTTTCCACCAGCTACCATGTGACCTCTGTCTTTGTAAATCAGCTGCTTATAACACAGCATCTGGTACACCTAAGTACTTTTTTCGTTCATTCGAAGGCCGTGGGAGAGAAGGGAAAAGGGAGGATGCAAAGGAGTCTGGGTTGTCCCCAGCCTGGAGAATTCATTGGAACCATAACTCCTTCTTGTTTGTCCCCCACACGGTTTGCTTCTCACTGTGTCTAAATCACAGCTGCCTTTGCTCAATGATGATAAATTCATCTGGAGTACTCCAGATGGTGAGAGTAGAGAAATGATTCATCAGCTTCTCCCCCTTTCCCAGAAGGTTCTCTCTCACAAGGGGCCAAGGGGATACTCTTCTTGTGAAGCTTGTGATTCCTCTCCAATCCCTCACCAGCCAGGAGAGATAGCAGCAAAGAAAACTCTACAGAAACCAGCCCTTCAGAAAGCACAGCTGTTAATGGGACATAAATTTTGTCTTATAATCCCCAAGCAAAGGATGCCATAGCCAGCAGGACAGGTTTCCTGTTCTCCCTCCTGTTTTCTTCATAGTCCTCCCTCCTTCAATCTGTCTGACACATACATATCGATCCCCAGTTTCCCATCAAGGCCAAAACTCAGCCCAAAAGCTGGCTGCTCATTGCTGGCATCTTACAACCAATGTTGAGGATCCAGACTCAGGCATTTCTTTACCATATGAACCCAAGCACCTCACTTAGTCTCTCTAAGCCTTAGTTTTCCCATCTATAAAATGGGAATGTTATTAACATCTGTCTCACAGAACTGTTGTGAGGATCAATTGAGATGTATATAAAGCCCTTTGCAAACCTTAAAAGTTTTCATAAATGTAAGCTAGTATTAGTATTATTTTAAAAATCCATTTCAAATTTGTAAGGACATACTGGTAAATGTTTAACAACTAGCACCCCTCCAAAAATAAAAGGATACATGACACACTTTGAGGTTTAGACAATCAATAAAACAATAAATCAAGCCCTAATTTCCAGCATTAGCCAATTTCCAAAGTGTGAATACTCAAACTGAAAATTTAACAATCGGCTCTAGTGAACCTGTACAAACTGACTTCAATATGTCATTAATGTAACCAGTCCTTCATTTTCTGCAACAGTATCAGAATGCTATGGCCCAAGTAGCACATAATAACAGCTAATCCAAAAATCACTTCTGGCTTTGCAATATATTCTAGGCAAGGATGTAGATTTAAGCTCTAGGTCTCCAAGCCAAGACTTGTCCAGAGGACTCCACCATCAAATCCACTGCTCCCAAATGCCCTTGCTAAAAGTTCTAGAGGCCTCTCCTTTCTTTCCCCCCATCATGCTGGCCTTGAAAGGTCCTCCCCAGGACATTCCAAGCCTCCTCACCCTTGACACCTAAGCATGAAATACTGCTCCTGCCAAGTCAATCTATTACTCCAGTTTGACTGGTTTACTCATTATTCACCAAGAAGGTTTTTACCTCTCTTGATGTCTTTGGCCAAGCCTCCCTTATGATCATGTGAATTTATCTGACTCCTTTTATAAGGATCACCCAACCCTCTCTCCCTTCAATCCTTCACGGAGTTCTCTACACATCTTTTTTTTTTTTTTTTTTGCTTTTTGGGAGGCAGTTGGGGTTAAGTGGCTTGCCCAAGGTCACACAGCTAGTAAGTGTCAAGTGTCTGAGGCTGGATTTGAACTGCGCCACCTCACTGCCCCTCTACTCATCTTTCAATGCTGTTTTAAAGATAAAACAATAAAGAATTCTTAGCTTTGTGTCATAGCCCCCTTTGACAGACTGGTAAAGCCTATGGGCTCCTTCTAGGAATCATGTGTTTAAATGCATAAAATAAAATAAACAGAATTGCAAAGGAAATTAATTATATTGAAATAAATTACAAAAAAAAAATCAAGTTCGTAGATCCTAGGTTAAAAATCCCTTTAAAAAAAGAACAAAATGAGGCATTGGATTGTGGAGAGAGCGATGGACTTGGAGTCAATACGAGTTGGGTTCTAACTGGGTCTCAGACACTCGGTAGCTATAGAATCCTGGGAACACAACTTAACCTTTCTGATTCTCAGATTCCTCATCTGTTAAACGAAGGGGTTGGACCTCATTACCTCTTAAGTCCCTTCCAACTCTAAATGTATCATCTCTAAGGCCCTTTTGAGCACTAAACCTTATAATCCTGTGTGACCATATTCTGGAATGGGTAAGTGGCTAAACTCCCCGAGGGCAGACAGGTACAATTTTGTTTTTGGTGTTTCCCAAGGGTGCCCTAGCTGTCTGAAGAACTTTCCTTTGGTCTGTCAACTGTGGCAAAGTCATGTCACTTTTGGGGGCCTCAATTTACTCATCTGTAAAATGAGAGGGACTGAACTAAATGACCTTTCAGGTTTCACTCATCTCTAAAAATCCTATGCTTCTATAAGTTCCAGAGGAGGATTTGAATCCAAGACTTCAGATATTGATCCACTTTAAGATGTCACTACCTACTTAATCATTTCATTTTTCTTCCAGATGGGAGGGGGAAAGCACTCATAACGGATGTTATAGTTGTGTCCATCACTCAGAAACCAGGCACTGATTTCATTCCATACGTTCACAAAAGACCACCACTCTTTTTTTCTTTGCATGTTGAGCACATTGGATTGATTTTTTAAAATGGAATGAGTCGCTTTACGAAAGAGGACGGGGGAGGCAGAGACAAGGAGCAGAGTTGTTACCTGCTGCACGTCCTGCTGGAAAACGCAGAGCTGCAACCGCTGATGCAGGCGAACCTTCCGGTGCTGCCAGATGCCCTCGAGCCTGCGCTGGTGGTGCAGCACCTCATGGACGACGTCTAGGACCTGGTGCACAGCTTTGGAGTAATTGGCAGTGGCCGTCAGGGACTCTGAGTTGCCAGGACTCAGGGGCCGCTGCAATACATCCAGCAAGGCTTTGCCATCCTGGCTGACCTGCAAGAAGAAAGCGGGACACGTTCTAGACTCAGGCTGAGAAAGTACCCCAAGAGAAAACCAGTCCAAGAAAATGGTGGCATGAGGATCCCAGCTAAGGCTGCAGACGCAAGGGAGCCAAAGGAGAGGGGGAGCAAGGTGGGGGAGAGGGGGATTGGACTAAAAATAATTGCTCTCCCTCCCTCCATACTCCAATCCACCCTCCATATGTCAAAATGATTTTCCTAAAGCGCAGCTCTATCACTTCCCACTCAACAAATTCCCATGGTTCCCAATGGTTATTAGGATCAAATATGAGTTCCTTTGTTTTAACTTTTAAAGTCCTTTACAACTTGGCCTCAAACAATCTTTCCAATCTTATTACACATTATTGCCCTTCCCATATTCTACAGTCTTGCCAAACTGGTCTCCTTGTTGTCACACATGGGACTCCCATTTCCCCTCTCTGAGCCTTTGCACTGGCTGTACCTATGCCTCTAATGCATTCCCTCTTCTTCTCTGCCTCTCAGAATCCCTTGTTTCTTTCCAAATGCTGCTCAAGAGACTGGCTACAGGAAGCATTTTCTGATCTGCCCCTCCAGCTCCCAGTGCCATTCTAAATTTAAATCCTGTTTATTATATATTCTGTATATACTTATTAATTTGCATGTTGTCTCCCCTGGTAGAATGCAAACTCCTTCCTTTTGGTATCCCTAGTACCAAGCACAATGTCTGACACACAGCTGGTGCTTAATAAGTGCTTGTGGATTGATTCACCTCCTTATGGAGGATGGGTCTCAGTGAGTGGTGATGAATTGGTTGACTCAGACAAAGTAGGACAGGCTGTTATGAGAGGAGCCACCCCTCTATGCTGACCTATAAAAGGTACTCTTCACCCAAGAACTAGGCCTATCCTTTTCATCTTTTTTAGAAGACAGGCAACAGAGATAAGAGCAGACCTGTGTACTGCTAGGAGGACAACACTCATCGCAGCCTTGAGGCACAGGCACATGAGTGCTACATGTGGTTTCACTGAGGTCAACCAAGAGGAGAGCTCTTGGACCTCAAATTCCTGGCTAGTCTTAGAGGGGTAGTGGCATAATCTCTTAGCCTAAGTAATAGCAGGGGTGGAGAAAGGAGCTTCCTGGTTGCTGTGGTTGCTCCTAAAATTCAGCTTCCCAGAAGAATGTTGAGAGGTCCTGAAACACAGCCGTGTATGTATGTGTATGTGTGCACGCATACGTGTGCGTTCATATGTGCATGCATGTGTGTGCGTGTGGGGGGAGGTAACAGGAGATTTCTAAGCAATGTAATTCTGAAATCCAGCCTTCTGGAAAAAGAGGAGTTTCCTGAAGTTTTCCTTGAAATTTTATCCATTATTCGAGACCTTTTGCTCAAATGTTAACTCTTCAATAAAGCCTTTACTGATATCCCCACTTTCTTTCCTCTGATATCACACAACACTTTGTAACTCTTGTGCATTTATTATGTTCTATCTCACACTAGAGATAATGAATAGGTATTTCCTATCTATCAGAGTTTGGCATATTTATGTAGGTATTGTATCTCTCCTGCTAGACTATAAACATCAAGAGGACAGAAACCGGATCTTTGTATTTCCCCCAGAACCTAGCACAGTATTTTACATGAACTTATGAAATGATTATTGATATTCTGGATATATATTTTATATATATGGATATATATATATAATATATGGATACATATGAATATATACATATATATCTAGATATTCTGAAAACATATTAAAAACATCCTTTTAAATTTCTCTAGAAATATTAAAAAATAAAATTTTTCTGGGTTAAAAGTCCTTTCCAGACTCCCCTTCCCCCTTTGAAGAGTGGGTTAGGTAAAGAACAAAAATCTGGGGGTGGAGCCAAGATAGAGGAGAAAAGGCAGGGACTCACCTGAGATCTCCCCTCCAAAATCCCTTCCAAATATCTTTAAAATCATGCCTCAAAACAAATTCTGCAGCAGCAGAACCCACAAAAGGATGGGTGAAACAAATTCTCCGCCCAAGACAACTGAGAAGGTCAGTAGGAAAGGTCTGTTGCACCAGGGTGAGAAAGGAGCACAGTCCAGCACAGGCTGCGGCCCCAGCCCAGAGCAGGGCTTGCAAGAGACTGAATGAACAGCGGCAGTGGTTACTTCTGGGTCTCTCAATCCATAGATGGTAAGGAGTGGAACAACTGGTCAGAAGGAGATGACAGGAATACCTTTGCTGGCACTGGGGGCAGGACTCTGTTGCTTTGCCCATACTCTGATCTGGGTCTCAGTCCTGGGTGGCAGTCTCAGGGTGAGGAGGAACACTAGCACACCGGAGCTTGTGGCCACAGGGGAGCTGGGACCTTGTTCACAGATCCAGGGTAGAAAAGAGTGCTTGTGGTAACTCACAGACCAGAGCACAGGCCAGGAGAGCAGTAAATATGCCTCTCCTTAGATCACACCACTTTGGAAGAACTGAAAGCTTACAGACCCCCAGAACTAGCTCTGAAAAAAGTTGCACAAAAAAACCTGAAGCTTGGAAAAGTATAGTGTCCACCCCAGAAGCAGAGGCCCACTTTAGCATAGAGTTAAAAGTTAAGAAATAAGCTGGGAAAATGATAAAACAACAGAAGAAAATTCTGACTATAGAAAGTTACTATGGTAGCAAGGATGATAAAAACACACACTTAGAAGACAACAAAGTCAAAACTGTTACATCCAAAACCTCAAAGAAAAATAAGAATTGGTCTCAGGCCATGGAAGAGCTCAAAAAGGATATTAAAATCAAGTAAAAGAGGTAGAGGAAAAATTGGGAAGATAAATGAGAATGATGCAAGAAAATCAAGAAAAAAGAGTCAACAGCTTGGTAAAGGAGGCACAAAAAATACTGAAGAAAATAACACCTTAAAAAAACAGAATAGGCCAAATGGTAAAAGAGGCACAAAAATCCAATGCCTTGAAAGGAGAAGAATGCCTTGAAAAGTAGCATTGGCCAAATGGAAAAAAGATATATGAAAAATCACTGATGAAAAGAACTCTTTAAAAGGCAGAATTGACCAAATGGAAAAGGAAATACAAAAGCTCACTGAAGAAAATAATTCTGTAAAAATTAGAATTGGGCAAGTGGATGACTTTATGAGATATTAAGAAACAATAAAACAAAATCAAAAGAATGAAAAAATAGAAAAAAAATGTGAAATATATCATTGGAAAAATAACTGACCTGGAAAAATAGATCCAGGAGAGATAAAATTATTGGACTACCTGAAAGCCATGTTTAAAAAAAAAAAAAGAGCCTAGACATCATCTTTCAAGAAATTATCAAGGAAAACTTCCCTGATATTCTGAAGCCAGAAGGTAAAATAGAAATTGAAAGAATTCACCAATTGATTAAAAAAGATCCCAAAATGAAAACTCCCAGGAATATTACAGCCAAATTCCAGAGCTCCCAGGTCAAGGAGAAAATATTGCAAGCAGATAGGAAGAAACAATTCTAATGTTGTGGAGCCAAAGTCAGAATTAACACAAGATTTAGCAGTTTCTACATTAAAGGGTAGGAGGGCTTGGAATATGATATTCTGGAGGCCAAAAGGGCTAGGATTACAACCATGAAACACCTACCCAGAAAAACTGAGTATAATCTCAAGAGAAAAATGGATATTCAATGAAATAGAAGACTTTCAAGCATTCCTAATGAAAAGACCAGAGCTGAATAGAAATTTTGAGTTTCAAATATGAAACTCAATAGAAGCATAAAAATGTAAACACCTAAGAGAAATCATAAGGCTTTCAATAAGGCTAAACCATTTAAATTCCTACATGAGAAAGTGATACTTGTAGTTCCTAAAAACTTTCTCATTATTAGGGCAGTTAGAAGGAATATACATAGACAGAGGACAAAGGTGTGAGTTCACTATGATGGTATGATTATTTAAAAAATTAAAATTAAGGTGTGAGAAAGAGGAATGTGCTGGGAGAAGAGAAAAGGGTGTGGTAGAATGAGATAAATTATCTCATATAAAAGAGATGAAAAGAGCTTTTAAGTGGAGGGGAAGATGGGGGATGTGGGGGAAGAGAGGTGAGTGAACCTTACTCTCATCAGAATTAGCTCAGAGACGGAATAACATATACATTCAGTTGGCTCTAGAAATCTCTTACCCTATAGAAAAGTAGGAGGGGAAGGGGATAAGAGAGGGCAGTGGTGATAGAAGGGAGGACAGATTGGGAGGAGGTAAAGAAAAGAAGGAAAACACTTTTGAGGAAGAGCAGGGTGAAAGGAGAGAGAGAGAGTAGGATAAATGGGGAAAAATAGGATATTGGGAAATAAAGTTAGTAATCATAACAGTGAAAACATTTTTACAGAAAGTTTTCTAATAACGACCTCATTTCTCAAATATGTAGAGAATTGAGTCTAATTTATAAAAACAGGAGCTATTCCTCAATTGCTATATGGTCAGAGGATATGAATAGGCAATTTTTAGACTAAGTAAATCAAGCTATCTATAATCATATGAAAAATGCTCTAAATCACTATTGATTAAAGAAATGCAAATTAAAACAACTCTAAGCTACCACCCCACATTTATTAAATTGGCTAATATGACAGAAAAGGAAAATGACAAATGTTAGTGTGGATGTGGGAAAATGGAGGCACTAATGTACTGTATACTGATTGCATACTGATTATACTGATATGTAATGTGATATATACTGATTCAACCATTCTGTAGAACAATTTGGAACTATGTCCAAAGGACTATAAAACCATGCATAATACCCTTTGACCAAGCAATACAACTGCTAGGTTTGTATCCCAAAGAGATAAAAAAAAACCCTCCCCCAAAGAGGAAAAGGATTTATATGTACAAAAATATTTATAGTAGCTCCTTTAATGGTGGCAAAGAATTGGAAATTGAGGGGCTGTCAATCAATTGATGGATAGTTGAACAAGTTGTATATGATTGTCATGAAATACTATTGTGCTATAAGAAATGACAATCAGGATGCTCTCAGAAAAATCCGGAAAGACTTCCATGAACTAATGAAAAGTGAAATGAGCAGAACCAGGAGAACATTGTACACAGTAACAGCAACATTGTATGATGATCAACTATAAATGACTTAGCTATTCTCAGCAATACAGTGATCCAGGACGATTCTGAAGGACTTATGATGAAAAATGCTATCCATGTCGAGAGAAAGAACTGATAGAGTCTGAATGCAGAACAAGGCATACTTTTTCTTTACTTTCTTTGTTTTTCTTTTTTTTTTTGTCTATGTTTTCTCTCACAACATGACTGACATAGAGATAGGTTTTGCATGACTGCATATGTATAATCTGTATCAAGTTGCTTGCCTTCTCAATGAGGTGGGGAGGATAAGTAGGTAGAGAGAGAATTTGGGACTCAAAATTTTTCAAAAATAAATGTTAAAAATTGTTTTGACATATAATTGGGGAAAAATAAAAACAGGAAAAAAGAACAAAAGTCTTTTCTTAAGGAAATGGATTAAAGATGGAAACTAAATTTTGAACAAAGACTACCTCTTATCTTTGTTTAAATCATTGCCATCCCTACCTTCTGAGGGATTGGGCTATTGACTCATCTTTTCCCCATCCCCTGGAGCAACTGGTAGATTGGCAGCACTATGAGCCATTCTTCTCCATTTAGAAAGGATACCAATTGCGAGGAAGAGACCACATAATCCTTTAGAGAGTGGTCAAAGTAGGAATCCAAGAGAGACGATTAGTATGGAATGTTAACTCTACTAGTAAACTCTGGACTGATAATAGAAGGGGATGAGATGCTGCCTGTGCTGGCTCCAGCCTCTTTACCCTGTTCTCTCAGGTCCTGACAATAAGTTGGCAGAAGGTCTGCAATCCTAGATGCGGCTGCTATCACTTTCAGTTGACTATGGGAACTAGCCAAGCTGATGGGGTTCTGAGGGAAAGTGGGTCAGAAAGTCTGGGGGAGGCTGCTGCAAAGTCAAATCAAATACCACTCCACATCCAACTCTACCCCATATGGTTCAACGTCAAGGGAAGCAGAGAGAGGAGAATATTACGAAATGGTCAAATGGAATGTTTTGGTGAACTAGCCATCTTTCTTTTGGCCAAATCCCAGGGAGCTCATACTACATGGTTCTGAGCAATTATGCTGCTTGATGATTTGATACCATACAGGGCAGTGTGGCTTGGGATAAGGATGCTCTCATGATATAAGCATTTAGTTCTAGAGAAGCTCTGATCCCCTCTGCCTTGTTGTTCACATCTGGGTGAGGCAGCTGATGATTTTTCCTTCTATCACTTGAGGGTTTAGAGTGAATAACTAGGCATAACAGATGTACATCCGTCCTCCAAGAAACAAGTGGGAGACAGCCTAGTGTAGAGGAAAGAAATCTGGGACTGTGATTTAGGAGACATGGTTTCTAGACCCAATAGGACCATGAACTTGGACAAGATACTTCATTCCTTAGGTCTCAATTTTCTCAACAGTAAAAGAAGGGGGCTGGATTAAATGATCTCTTTTTTGAAAAAAGTTCTATGATTCAAATATGATTATTATTCAGAGGATCAGAGATCTAAAGTTGGAAGGGATTTCATAGGCCCACTAGTCCATTTTATAGATAAGGAAAGGAGGCCCTAGGAGGTTGAGTGATTCCACCAGGGTCGCCTTGGTAACAGGATTTGAATTCAGGTTTTCTGATTTCAGAGCCACTGTTCTTTCTATTGTGAATCATGCTGCTTCCCTTAATATTTATATGTCTATAGAAAACTTAATCTCATTTGTTCATATGAACTATTTGTACATGATCAGTGGTAGAGCTTCCAAGCTCATATTGGTCTGATCGGCCTCAGTGCACCTTGGCCCCAACAAAGTGTTGTCATTTTGGTCCTCTTCAAATGCGGACAACTAATCTCATCTGTATCTGGGTTTTTTTTTTGTTTTTTTAAGCAGAAGCAATCTGGAAGATCCAATCACCCCCAAAGTAGCACATGCTCTTGCCTTCTAGAGCGACTATAAAACCCACTTCGGCCAATTCTTTGGGTCCAAATTCCACTTGATTATCAGGCAAAGAAGCAAAGTTGTTAGAGACATGTCTGAGGAGTCAATTATGGAGAAACCATGCCAACTGTCAGGGATAATACATCTTTGGAGAAACAAGCTTACTGGTGAGTAATTGGGTTTTCTCCAAAAAAAGGAATTGAGACATCCCTGCCAGTTGACACAATAAGTGACCAAATAGCCAGACCACCAGGAGGTGGGGATAGAGGTCAAGTTGAAAACAGTGGCTGGACTGCAAAATTAAATTGAGATTCCAGTAGGAGGCCAAGTCAAATCAAGATAATTTCTCTGTCAAGGGTGGGATAGAAGAAAGGTGATTATCTCATGAATTGTAGACATTCAAGGAACTGTTTCTGAGAGGTATAAGCTATGGCTGTCCTGTCTCCAAGCAGCTAATGGCTATAGAAAAGCAGAGGAAGTCCAATATCTCTGGAGCACATTCAAGTCAGTTGGGAAGGACAGAGCATTGACTTTATGTTAAAGGAAGTAAAGAACAATGAATATAAAGTCAAGCCTTCAGTCATTCTCCCTAAGAAAGTACAACTTCCCCATCTATGTATCAATCAATCAGAATTTATTAAGTGCTTCTTATGTACCAATCCTTGGGCTAGTTGCCAGGGTTACTAATTTAAAATGAGACATTCTTTGTCCTCAAGAACCTTATAAAAAGGTTGGGGGTGACCCGCACTAGATGGAAGGTTTGGTGGGAAAGGATGGGAGAGTATGCCTTAGTTGTTTATATAAGTCACACTAATGTGAAAAAAAAACGGGGCAAATTTTATAAGAATGGTCTAGGGAAGACAAAGTCATATAGTAGAGCTCTCTCATGCATTATAATGCATCTTTGCTCTCCCCACACTCTGTGATCCGGCCAAACTGGCCTTCTCTCTGTTTGTCACAGACAATACTCAATCTCCCATCTCTGTGTTCCTTTGCACTGGCTGTCCTTCCTTCATTCCATGCCTGGAATGCCCTATCTTCTCATCTCTGCCTTACACGATTCCTCTTTTCTTTTAAGCTGAAGCTCAAGCACCACCTCTTATAATCTCTCCTGATCGCCTCAACTGTTAGTAACATCGTTCCCAAACTCCCCTGTATTGAACTATTTTGTATTTATTCTCTCTACATTTAATCTGTACAATCCTATATATGTACTTCTTGTCTCCCCAGTTAGAATGTGAGTTCCTTCTATCAGTCACCATCTTTGTATTCCCAGACAGTGCCTAATGGGGTGGGGAACCTGTAGCCTGAAGGCCACATGTGGCCTCTAGGTCCTCAAGTGTGGCCATTTGACTGAATTCAAACTTCACAGAATAAATCCCCTTAATAAAATTAGTATAATAAACATAATAAGTAATAAAATTAGCATAATAAAATTAATAAAAATGATTTGTTCTGTAAAATTCAGACTCAGTCAAAAGGCCACACCCAAGGACCTAGAAGGCCACATGTGGCCTCGGTCACAGGTTCCCCACTCCTGCCCTAGAACATAATAGGCACTAAACAAATGTTGACCAATTGATGGACTGATGTAAAAATCCCCTTCAAATGGGAGAAAATAAGGGTAAGAAACTAATGAGATTCTCTTACGGCAGAGAATAGAAGGCGAAAACAGCAGTGAGAATGGACTTTGAGGCCACACTGGGCCAGTGTCACCAAGCCCTGATATTCAAGAGCTAAGACATTGACTGGATGAGTTAATGTCCCTGTGACTCAAATCACTAGTAATTTGTATTCCTATGGAAAAGTCTCCCTTCCTATGCCAGGAGGATAATCGCTATTTGGGGAAATAGAAATGCTAAACTGTACAGAAGGACCGCTGGGACCACATATTGACTTAGAAAATCACGCATTCACATTATCTATGCTCTATTGTGTTTTTATTTATTTTGTTACATAACTCCCAATTACATTTAATCTGGTTGGGCCACAATAAGGCCATATTGCAGGCTTCAGGCTGCATGTTTGATACCTTTGGTCTAAGCAACTAAATCCTACAAAGAATTTCTAGAGAAGTAAGGGCAATTTCATCAAGTTCAACCTAGGGGAAAAGTATAGACTTGGTAACTTGGTAGATCAGGGAGTACTTTCATAATACAGTACTCTGCACAGAATGGGCACTCAGCTCATGGTGTTTTCTGCTGACATCACTAGCTACATGACTAGAGGCCAGGTAGGAAAATAGTCCAAAGGTGGGGATGGGGAGGAGGATGGTTATTGGCCCCTGGAGGATTCCCAAAGAGAGAGACAATCTTAGAGAGACAATCTTGAGTCTGTACCATCCCCACCACACTCACTTGACAGTGGACAGATTTACCTCCCAAGTCCCTATGTTATTTCTCATTCTTTTCCCTCTCCCCCACCCCAGGCAAATGCATTTCTTACCTCAGTGTAGGCCTGTGTCACCTGCTCATACAATGACTGGTGGTGGTGTATGGCCAGCTCTAGGTCCTGTGTCTCAGATGGGAGGCCACCTTCACTGCACATCTTGCACCAGGCATCCACTCCTGACAGGAACTGAAATTATACCAGGTAATTAAGTTAGGGAGAAGGAAGGCATTGTGGTATAGCAGCCAGAGTAGTGAGACATGGAGTCAGAAGATTCAAGTCAAAGCTTTGCCAATTCCTAGACATGCAAGTTGGGCAAGCCACTTTTCTCTAGGTCCTGATTTCCTCATCTAGGAAATGCAGGTGCTAGGCTAGATGTGTCCTAAGACCCTTTCTAGCTCTGACTCCTATGATCCTCTCTGGTACCCCAAAGACAGAGAGGGTGACCTTGAAAGATTCTGACAAGAGGCAGAGTTTAGTTCCAACAGCAACTCATAAGCAATCAGTGTAAACCTTTAGCTATAAACTCCTTAAGAGAGGGAGATTGTTTCCTTCTCTGTTTCTGTATTCCCAATAATAGGTATCAATAAATGCTAGATGATTGATTGACACTTGAGAGGTGTTCGGAGCCAGCTCCTGGCTTAGGGAATCGCTTTTTAAGCTCAAGACGCTAAAGATTTTCTTAGTTGTCATTCTATATTAGTATTAAAAGACTTGGGAGGGGGAGGTTTTATTGGTGGAAAACCTTGGATACACAGGCTAATTTAGACAGAATAATAGTGTGGCTTTTATTTATGCACAAGAAACTGTTCTGCTAATCTGTCCCAACTCTTGCTTTCAAGTATATTCCAAATTACTGAAAGTATTCAGTTTAATTACTTGCCTTTGTTAATATGTCACACTTTCTGTTACTCTTACTTTGGCAATAGCAGGGCATTCCTTTGAAATGTACTGAAAGAAGTCCCCACCCAGGGAAGATTTCAAAGAGGACAACTCTGTTGGTGCTTTGCATCAGTCTGAGGGAGAGAGATCTATTCCCAGCATGCACTGGATTACAGGAAAGACTAAAACTGAATGGAGAAATTGGACGGTTTCCCAGCTCCTCTATGCAGTCCTTCACAAGTGTGCTCTCATTACAGAGTTTCAAGTGTTATAAAGAGTAAATGTACCATTTTCAAAAATCTGTATAGGAGCACATTCTAGAATCAAAAAGAAATCATGTTTTATTATACATTATTCCATACATTCTCCACATTTTTGTTTTCCTCCATTAATGGAAAAGATTGACGGCTAATTGACTACACTCAAGTTATATCTGTAGTCCAAGTTAACCATGTTGACACTACATCCTGTCTGACTGTCTGTCTAGGTCAGGGGTTCTTAACCTGGGGTTAGACTTTCAGGAACTCGTGGGCTTAAATAAGAACAAAAAGAACACCTTTATTTTCATTAACATCTGGCTGAAATGTAGTATTTCCTTCAATTATTTAAAAACATTATTTTGAGAAACGGTCCATAGACTGCCAAAGGGATTCATGGCACAAAAATGGTTAAAAGCCCCAGGTTTAGGTTATGGCTGATGTTAGCTTTCAGTTGAAGAGCTCTATGGCACAGAAAGAAGCTATTCCCTTGCTTTATGAAACACTCCCTAAGGGGCTCTCCTAGTTCTAATACCATAGTTACTTTCTTCCGGTAAAGTTGGTTAACCTGTTGGAAAAATGTGGTTCCCACCAGCAAAGGTTATGGCTAGGAAATAACTGTAAAAATGCCACGTGATGGATAATTTGACTCACTCGTGAGATCATATATTGTCTGCATGTGGGGTATGAACATATATGGCAGAGAGATGACAGAGACAAGCCACTTCCCTCCTTATCCCCTCACTAAGAGAGCCAGTGGATTTCTCATTTCCACTCAAATTCTGAAGCCTTTGGGAGAACCTGAGGGTCCCTGGTTTTTGCCTTTGGAGTGTGGGATTGGAGTGTGGAGTGTACTTCCCAACCCAAGGCATGTACAATGTAAAGTACTACTTATACACACATTTACACGTATATTCTATTCAATTCAACTCCAAAAAGCATTTCCTAAGTATCTAGTATGTACAGTATATTATGTATAAGTATGTATATAGTATGTATGGGCTAGGTACCAGGGAGACTAGGGCAAAATGAAGAATAGTTATTACCCTTAAGAAGTTTACATTTTACTGGGTATATAAGTAAGCTATGATTATAAAGTAAAAAGATTGAGTCGACGAGTCATACCTGATATCATATGACTATACTAACTTCTTATGGGAGATGAGAATAGAGCACTGAACTTGGAGTCAGGGAGGCCTGAGTTCACATCCTGTCTCAGAGAATAGGAGATTTACCCTAGGCAAGTCACAACCTCTGCCTGCCTCAGTTAACCCCTCTATAAAAAAGAAATAATAATAGGATCTATCTCTCTGAGTTTTTGTGAGGATCAAATGAGAAAATATTTTAAAAATGTTTTGCAAACCTTAAAGTACTTATATAAATGCTAGGTATTATACTAAATATAGCATATGATATATATTATATTCATGCATATAAATGTCAATTTATTTATGGATATGTAGGTATTTTGATCTATATGGATATATTTGATTTAGATCCATGATTTCATCAGCATAGAGAACTTCCGGTGTGGGAATTCCCTTAACCAATGCATACTAGCAACCCTTTTGTACCTTCTAGGCTTTGAGACCTGCCTGGGGAATGAAAGGTTACCCATCTGAAATGGTTGCACAGCTAGTAGGAGCCAAGACTTGAGCCCAGGTCTTCCTTATTCCTAGGCTGGTATATAAATACAAGTATGTATGTATATGTATGTATGTGTGTAGATAGATAGATAAATAGATATGTGTATATATGTGGTTTTGTTTTAGAGTTACAATTTTTTTAGTTTAGGTAAATTCCCTATAATAATGTAAATTGGGGATTTACAATTTTATAATCTTAGAAGATAGGCAGCTAGGTAGCACAGTGGATAGAGAGCCGGGCCTAAAGTCAGGAAGACTCATTTTCCTGAGTTCAAATCTGGTCTCAGACATTTACTAACTGTGTGACCCTGGGCAAATCATTTACCCCTGTTTGCCTCAGCTCCTCATCTGTAAAATGATCTGGAGAGGAAATGGCAAAGCACTCTGGTATCTCTGCCAAGAAAACCCCAAATAGGATCACAAAGAGTTGGACATGACTGAAACAGCTGAACAACAACAGCCTTAGAGGATTGCCCAGGGCACTCAGACATCAATGACTTGCCCATGGTCAAAGGGATGGTACGTGTAAGAGGCAGATCTGGAACCTTAACTACAATACTAGTTCACCATTTACTATGCCATGCTGCTTCACAGATAGATAGATAGAGAGATAGAGAGATAGACAGACAGACAGACATATTCATATCCTATCCATTTGCCATATGACTATAAAGCAATAAAATCATCATGAATGTCTTTGGCAAATAATCTTGTTACCCTCTAGTCATACCTCACTTACATATGTATAGCATATGTAGGGGTGACCCTAATGTTTTTTGATATGTATGTACTGGGTTAGGAAGACAAGCACCCAGAAGTCCCATAAAGACCTCCAGGGTTATATAGAGATTCCTAGAGGCTTCAAAATTTTATAGTATAGGGGCAGCTAGGTGGCGCAGTGGTTAGAGCACCAGCCTTGGAGTCAGTAGGACCTGAGTTCAAATCCGGCCTTAGACACATAACACTCACTAGCTGTGTGACCCCGGGCAAGTCACTTAACCCCATTGCCTAGCCAAAAAAAAAAAAAAAATTAACAGTTTAAACAAAAATCCATTGGTTCTTGTAGTAGAGGCAGAGGAGAGGAAGACAAGAGACTCTTTAGGAAGGATCAGAAGCTTCTTAGTCATCTGTATGGGAGAGGGGTGGCAGTCAGGGTATATACCAGAGGTGTCAGATTCAAGGTTGAGAGCCAGAATTCTGAGTGCCCCAGATTAAAACACAACTGGGAAATGTTTAACAAAATAAATAAAATTATAATTCAATATAGATAATATCAATTTAAGGTTTTCTAAGTCGATATGGGGCCCTGAGGGATCCATTTCTTTTTGAGTTTGACGCCATTGGACACCATGCACCTATACAATGAAATAGGGGAATAGGAATAGGGTCTGGATCTCTGATTTCACTTGTATAGTAAGGAAATTCTCTCTAGCAATGTAGATTGGCACCAAGTCTACAACTTAGTTTTAGAGAATTTCCTAGAGTGTTGGCTTATTCAAGTCAGTATGTCAGAGGAGGGACTTGAACCCAAGTCTTCTAGGTAAGGAAGGGAATTAGCATTCACATAGCACCCACTCTGTGCCTGGCACTGTACTAAGCACTTTATAAATACAATCTCATTTGATCCTTACAACAACCCTGTGAGGTAGATACTGATAATATCTCAATTTTATACAGTTGAGGAAACTGAGGAAAACAGAGATGAAGAGACTTACCCAAAGTCACATAGCTAGTAAGTGCCTGAGGCTGGATTTGAACTCAGGTCTTCTTGACTCCAGGCCCAGAGCACTGACTGCTGCGTCACCAACTGCCTCTGGCCTTGAAGCCAGCTCTCTATTCACTATGCAAGGCTCCTGGTCATATGACATATAATGTACAATTTGACAGAGGCACCAAATTAACAAAAATTAACAACAGTGCAAGGGTATGGATCTCCACAAACAACTGATGAGCCTAGTGAAATCTATTGGTTTACTGGGCAAAAAATACCTTTTAAAAACATAAACAGGTTTCCAACCAATGGCTTGGAATACTTCTATATGTGGTTCCTGTCTAGTGGGGGCACAGCTCCATTTAAATTAATTGCCTAAATACCTTTTGATCCTATTGCCTGGAATAGCTCCTGTGGGACAATAAAAAGCTGCCTAAATAAATGTATTGAAAGGACAGTCAGGGATAGCTTTTTCAGATGAAGGGAAGCGTGGTTTATAGCTTTTGCTAACAGATTGGGTAGGGCTACGGTAATACCTGAAGAACTCACATAAAAAAATAGATATCAAGAAAATTGCTTCTGATTCAAATCAGCTCAAGCCAGGAAACATCAAACAAAATAACCGCACCAGTTAAAGCCCATCCTTGGCTCTGCCTGTAAGCACTTAAGTTTTAGCCTCAATGTCTGCACCTTTCATCCTCCAGCTTTTTCTTTCTTTCTTTCTTTGCTTTTTTTATTTTTTTAAATCACATTAGGTCATATCTTAGCAATTCCAAGGAAGTGTTGGATTTTGCCCAGTAATAGATCTCATGTGTTTGATGACATCTTGGTGACTCTTTCCCCTTCTACAAACATGCTATAGAGTGAAAAATCCTGGAAAGGGCCTCGTATTCTTGCTTCAAGCCTGAAGGAGGTGTGTGCCAATGTAAGAAAAATCTGAAATTGCCTCCCCTGTCCCCCTCTCCCTCACACCAAGTAATCTACACAGACCCAAGAAAAACAGATAGACTCAGCACTGGAAAGGACCTTAAAGGTCCTCGAGGCCAACCCCCTTATTTTAAAAATGAGGGAACTCAGTCCCAGAGAGGAAACATGATTTGTTCTATACACACATTGCTAGTAATAAGTGGCATTTATATAGGATCATAGATTCAGAGCTGGGAATCTTAGGGGTTACAATCCCTTAATTTTGCAGGTAAGGAAACAAGACCACAGAGATGAAGTTTTCTGTCCATGCAGATCGCTGCAGTCTCTCCTGACAACGTCTGGCTCTCATTTTACTATAACATGTTGCGTCTCAAGGAAGAGGATGCTCAGAGCAAGGGGGGAGCAGGAACATAAACGATAGAACATGGAAGAGGCCATCTAGTCCCACTTCTTCATTTTATAAATGGGGAAACTGAGGCACAGAAAGTGTAATCTTGCCCAAGATTACAGAGATATTAAGTGGCAGAGGTGGGATTCGAACCCCAGTCCATTGACTCCCAAATCATTCTTTTTTTCTGCTGTCCCCGGCAACCCTTCTAGTCCTTCTGGATGATTTTTGAGCCAAAGCATGGAGGTGGGGTGGGATTGTAGCAGGATACAGCTTTTCTTGTTTCTAAACCTGAAGCAGTCCTCTGACTGCTTCAATGACCCATTGGGTAATTTCCTGTTTCTACACCAGTGCCATGCTATAGGCTACCCAGGTGAGGAAACGATGTACCTTCTGTCTTTGCAGACCTCTATGTCCTAGGTGGCACAGTAGATAGCACACTAGGGCTTGGAATCAGAAAGACTTATCTTTCTGAACTCAAATCCAGCCTCAGACACTTCCTAGCTGTGTGACCCTGGGCAAGTCACTTAGCCCCATTTGCCTCAGTTTCCTCATCTGTAAAGTGAGCTGGAGGAGGAAATGGCCAACCACTCCAGTATCTTTGCCAAGAAAACCCCAAAAGGGGTCATGGAAAGTTGGACCTGACTGAAATAATTCAACGACAAAAATGTCCAAGATGGACACGTGTGAAGAGGACATAAAGAAATGTATGGACCAGCAAACAAACACACTTGCAGCCATGCCATCACAACCTGATACACTGTGTACCATGCTACCCAGTGTGGGAATTATCCATGGCTTCCCTCTGCACTGCAGACATATATGTCTTACTCCTGTCCCCTCACCATCCAGGTATACATCTTTATCAAATACATTCTCAAACAAAAAAAAAATTAAAGCTTTGATTCTTTCCATATGGATAGAGGTAACGTGGGAGAGGAGATAGTGTGCTGGACTATAGGTTTGATTTCTGCCTCAGAAACTAGGTGAATGACCACGGGCACCTTCCTGGGTCTCAGTTTCCTCACTTGGAAAATAGGGGGATTGGACTCAATGATCTCTAAGGTAGCTTCCAGCTCTAAATCTATGCGCCTGTGATTCCATCCTGTGATCACCTAGCCCGATGCTTTCCTCCATTGGGGAAAACAGTCAAACATTGACAGTGTGTTTAAAGTCATATAATTAATAAAATAAATAAAAGGGATGATTTCAACTACTCATTATTTGTAATAATCGCTAATACTCATTTAGCATAACACTTTCCTCACAGTAACCCTGAAGTAGGTGGTACAATTATGAGAAAACCCATTATACAGATGTGGAGACTGAAACTCAGAAAAGTCCAGTAACTTCTCTAGGGCCACCCACTTACTGAGGCTCGAGCTCAGTTCTCTCCATTCGAGATCAAGGCTCTTTGTTCCACCACACCAAGTTTCCTTTCTTGCTTCATGAGCCCTTAGCCCAGCTGTGTGACTCAGTCCTGCCTCAGTCCTTCCATCCCTTCCAGAAGCCCATTCCCAAAGTATGTCCAACTGTCTATCTTACCTGCTCGGCTTTCTGGTGGAACACGGCCGACATGGCCAGGATGGTGCTACGCTCATCCAGCGCGGCAGCAAAGCTCTTCCATTCCTGGTCCAGTTGGGTGGAGATCTGTTTGATCTGCTGGGAAGCATAGTGCCCTGCTTCTGACAGGCGGGAGGCCACGGACATGATGCGATTGATGTTCACGTAGGCATTCTGAGAAGCAAAAGGAGAGCTCCTTAATTAATTGAGCAATTAATTGAGCACTTTAGTTGGGGTGTGGGGGATGGAGATGCCCAAAATGTAGAAGACTGAGCAAGGGTGACCAGAGCAGTACATCAGTTTAGAGTATAAATCAATTACTGGCAGAGAGGGCAAGAGAAGGGTGGGTCCCTCCGAAGTAAAATCCAAGCAGGCAACAGGCATACTGATACTATACACATCTGCTAGGCAGAAAAGCAGGTGTGTTCAGGCGTATTGCTAATGTCTGTCTGCTAAGCAGTGGGGAAGAATCACTGAATGTTGTGATCTATATGGATGTTTAGCCAGTGAAGCCAAATGTAGGAGAAGTGAAGGGTTAATGCTAAAAGCTGTCCTGGGCTTATTCTCTTACTTGCACAAGAGGTTTAAGTGTTTTGAAAGCCCAGCCCCATCTTGATAAAGAAACCATAGCTCAATCCAGGGTGGGAAACCTGAGAGGAGGGCAATCATCACGTCCTAGATCCCCAAGATCGTTCACCTCTCTCAGCATGGATTCCAGACTCCCACCCTGAGAAGGGTTGAGGCAGGAGTAGACGGTGATATGGACCACTAGGTTGCACAGTAGATAGAGTGTCAGGACTGGAGTCAGGAAGACTCATCTTCCTGAGTTCGAATCCAGCCTCAGATACTTCCTGGCCGAGTGACCCTGGGCAAGTCACTTCACCCTGTTTGCCTCAGTTTCCTCATCTGTAAAATGAGCTGCAGAAAGAAATGGCAAATCCCTCCAGTATCTTTGCCAAACAAACTCCAAATGGGGTCACAAATGACTGAAAAACTATTGAACAACAAAAAAGATGGTCATATGATCATAAATCTAAAACTTGATGGAACAACAGAGGCCTTTAGTCCAATCATCTCACTTTACAGATAAAGAAACTGAGGCTCAAGGATGTTACAGTGACGTCACCAAGGTCACACAGGTACTAAGCAGCAAGGGGTGGGGAAGCGTGTGAACGCTGCTCCTCTGATGAAAGAGCCAGTGTTCTTTCCACTCTTTGTTGTTGTTCAGTCATTTCAGTCATGTGTGTGTGACTCTTTGTGACCCCATTTGGGGTTTTCTTGTCAAAGATACTGGAGTGGTTTGCCATTCGTTTCCTTTTCCAGCTCATTTTACAGATTAGGAAACTGAGGCAAACAGAATGAAGTGACTTGCCCAGGGTCACACAGCTAGTAAGTGTCTGAGGCTGGATTTCATTTCAGGTCTTCCTGACTCCAGGCCCAGCACTCTCTCTACTACATCACCTAGCTCAATCAGAGTTTAAATAGAAATAGACAATTGCACCATCTTCCATCTGAATAATTATGCCTATGAAGAAATTTATTCTTCGGTCTACTTGACTTAGGAACACCCCTACCTCCAATAAAGTGTCAAAAGCACCCAAGGTCTCCCACAGTTTCTGCTGGCCTCCTTCATCTACTGTTTTGTTTACATTCATTCCCAGCTCGGCTTGGAAATTAAAAATGTATGAACACTCCCCTGTTTCTTGATTAGGCCTGCAGAAACTCCCTTCAGGAAGAAAGGAGACAAAAGAAAAATGCCACCAATCTAAGGGGTGGCGAAGGAGGTTATTTTTAACTTATTCTCACTAATTGTCTGAGATGTCAAAACAATCAAACAATATTGTGGCAGCCTCTGTAACTCTATGAGAAGCACACAATGCCCGAGTGTAGCAGGACGGCTTTGAGAAGGTGTCTCAAAAACTTGGGCTCCTGCCTCTCCAAGACAATGAAGATTCATCAGCAATTGCACCTGCATCCCTCCTGAGCCAGGGGTCTGTTACTCATCCTATGTGTAGTCCATTGACACCAAAGTGGGATTTGAGAAGGTCCTTTATCACAGTCCACTCCTATGTCCTTCCTCCACCCAGCTTTACAACCACCCCCTCTGGACCCTCTGCTTCCAGGCACACTACTGAGAGAAATAATTATCAATAAATAATGATTTAGAGAGATTCAGATTCCCCCCTTTCCCTTTTATCCTCATTTCAAGACCTCAGTCTCAGAAGGTTGAACTAACCTCCTCTATCCACACCCCACCCAGGTGGGGCAGCCGCATGTTCTGCTCAGGTTTGGGTGGGGATAAAAGGCTGGGGGTAACTTAAGAAGTAAGTGTCAAGTGTTTGGTCTGAGGCTAGATTTGAACTCAGGTCCTTCTGACTTTAGGGCCGGTACTCTATCCACTGCACCACTTAGCTGCCCCGAGATAATATTTCTAAAGCACTTAGCACAATGCCTGGTACATATTAGGCATTTAATAAATGTTTGTTTCCTTTTTTATCCAAAACCTCTTTTTTTTTTTTTAACATGTGAGTAAACTGGAAGCAAATCCCCTGGGTTAGTTCAAGGAGTGCTGGATTTAGACCCAGAGGAGCTAGGATCAAATTCTAGTTCTGCTACTTTGCCGTGTGACATTGGATAAGTCAGTTAACCTCTCTGGGCCTTAGTTTTCCAATCTATAAAATGAATGAGTTAGACTAGATGATTCCTTCATTTCCTTCTAGCTCTAAACCTTTGATACCATGAATACAATATGACATTTATAATGTCAGGTCAAGGTCTCTAGTATGGGTTTTGCTCTTTCCATGATGCTAGTCTGCCTGCCTCTAGTAGCCCCTCACTTAGCAAGTTCTTCCTTGGAACTGACCTGAATCCTTTCTGCCACACACATTTCCTTAGTGGATGGAACCACTGTCTTCTTGAGTAATAATCCTTCAGGGTTCTGAGGAGTCATCATTACCTCATCTTTCAGCACTACTTTCTCTGGGCTTCTAAACAAATTGTGCTTAAAAGGAAAATCTACTCATAAAATTGATGGGGAAAAATGTCTTCAAAATTGGGAGTGTATATGCTGATTTTAGTGGCTCTGGCTTCTGAATAAATAAGCTGTTGCATTAGGGGGAAAAACACAGTTTTAATTTCCTTCCTTTTCTTTTATTCCAAGATGAACTGAAATTCTCCCTCCGGCAAAAAATCTTGGCTAAACGAATGACAAAGAAGACTCTCGTTTCCTGACCCTGTCACTAACTCCCAGCAACCCCTAGTTAACACCAAACTTGGGGAGGGGGGGAGTATTCAAACCAGGAGCGTGGCATTCACTTGTCCCGGCCAAAAAAAAAAGTCTCATGTTCTCTGCCTGGAGGGGAAAGCGGGGTAGAAGGGGGCAGGGTGAAATGATGTGATGTCTACACCACCTGGCACCCATCCCTACTCCAAGCAGGCAGGCTAGTCATTTGGATGTGCTGCCAGGCTCACTAAGACTCCTTACACACTCCCTGGAATAGGGGAGTCAGGGACCCCACAGTGTTTTCCCCCAATAATCTCCCTGCCTCCCCTCACTACCTTCCCTCTCTCTCTTTCTAAACGCAGTGTCCAGGAGACAACGAATGTGAACAGTGTTTAGGTTGTTTATATGGTCCTAGCTTGAGATACAACCAGCCAACCACACCTTGTAGCACTGATAAGAGGATCCTTCTGGGGGAAAAGGAGCTGGTATCCAAGTGTGGGAATGGGTGAGTTTGGTGGGTCCTATGCAGTTACAATTTGTGACAAATACAAACCCTGGCAAGTTAGAGGAATCTAACAGGTCCTTCCTCTTAGGAAATCCCTCCTCCAGTGAGCTCCCTTCCTCCACCCCTTTTCAACAGACCCCAGCTCACCAGGAAAGGCAGCACGAGTTCACTGATTCCCTCCCACTCCCAGACACTGAATGAATGAATGAAAAAAGCACTTTCAGGTACTTACTGCATTCCAGGCTCTGTGCTAGATGTTAGAGATTCAAATACAAGCAAGCAAGATAGTCCTTGCCCTGAAGAAGCTTCTAACAGGAGAAGAAAAGACACCTTTTTGTCTCCCTTTTGAGCTAGAGTTGGAAAGCAAAGTGTGGGGTCAGGGGGTGGAACCTGAGCAGTCCCATAGTGGAAATGCCCTGGAAGTGGCACGGAGCCCCATTCCTAATCTTACACCATAAATTGGGCACACCCACTCCTTTGTAACAAAGCAAAACAGTTATGCAAAACACTCATTGTAGACTGACTTCTCCAAAGAAAAGAAGGTGCATTTCCCTCTTGGCTTTTTCAGGGACAAGATTAGGCATTGAAATTCAGGGAAACAACAAGCTGTCTTTTGGTGTTCTTTTCACATACATTATCTGTGTCATGTATATTATCCTTCTGGTTCTGCTCATCTCAGTTCTTACAAATCTGCTAACATACAATAATATCCTACTGCCTTTAAATATTGGGGCAGTGAGGTGCTGGACACCTAGCAGCAGATAGGGTGCTGGGCTTAGAATCAGGAAGACTCATCTTCTTGAGTTCAAATCTGGCCTCAGACCAAACACTTAACACTTACTAGCTGTGTGACCCTGGGCAAGTCACTTAACCCTGTTTACCTCAGTTTCCTCATCTGTAAAGTGAGCTGGAGAAGGAAATGGCAAACCTCTCCAGTATCTTTACCAAGAAAACTCCAAATGGGGCCATGAAGAGTCAGACACAACTGAAACGACTGAAGAATAACCACCTTCAAATATCACATGTCAGTCATTCTCCGGTCTATAGACACCCACATTATTTCTAGTTCTTTGCTACTATGAAAGAAAGAAAGAAAGAAAGAAAGAAAGAAAGAAAGAAAGAAAGAAAGAAAGAAAGAAAGAGAAAAGAAAAAAAAAGAAAAGACAAAAAGTAGTGCTATGAATATTTGGTTATATTTGAGATCTTTTTCTATCAGTAAGGAACCTGGATTATATGCCCAACAAGGGCAGGATGGGAGGAGAATTGGCAAGTGGGGGGGAGAATCTGGTTCAAAAGGCATATCACTTTTTCTGTCTCAATATTTTTTTAAAAATCATTATTGATATATTTTGTTTCTATATCCCTTCACTTCCAAGTGTGTCCCACCTCCCTCCTCTACCTAAAGAGAAATCCAATGTTTTCAACAAAAATTTTAAAAACAATTCA